CTCCCGACGTTCGGTCAAAGTACTTCTACACACGGCAGCTAAATGCCCCCCCCCCCTCATGGAAAAACTTTTGAGGAGTAATGTTAGGCAGACGATTTTGACCTCAGTATCAAAACTTGTAACTACGACTGCAGCGACGCTGAAATCACGAGTCAGTTTCGCGGGGGACCTTTAAATCTTATTTAAAGTGTGCCGACGTTCGAATCGCACTCTGCTTAATTCTGTAACCGACCGTGAAACGCTCGATCCTCGTGTCAATCGGACTGGTGTTAAAACTCCATTTGCCTTGCCTATCATAGGTAACACCTCGGTACACCATATGACCCCACCCACACAAACCCCTGCTGGCTCTTAACTGTTATTAAATTCTGACCATTAGAAGTCGCTCAGTTTGGTAGGATAACACGCCTATAAAAAAGTACCGTTAAGATATTAGTATTACGCAGACGTCTCTAAGGTATGAGGCGGAAAATTAATTCAGTGACCTGAATTTGTTGGGCCAGATGAAGGTGCGGGAGACGAGAGTTGGCACTCAGTGTGATAACTCTAATGTTAATTGGCGCTCTGAACTGCTGATTTACCGTCCTCCAAAGCAGCTCAAAAATTGAAGAGAAGAACACGGTGACCACTCAGGTTTGTGACGCGTTCACCAATGGGCACCGGTCAGATGAAAAGACGAAGCAGCCTAAGGAGCTTGCAGGAAATGACCAGAGAAACGGCGTCCTGCACTGTGTGCAAATATTCGATCGGCGCTAAGGAGTGCAAGACCGACAGGTTCTGTGACTTCAATGTCTTAATCGATGTGTTTGGATGTATGACGACGAATAACACGCTCGAAGTGATTGTGGGCAACAACCAATTGTACTGAGTTCATCGATCTCTGGTCACACAGAGTCCAAGTTTGAGGATAATGGACTTCAGCGTCACAATTACTCATGAAACAGGAAAGTGTTCTGGCCCAGCAGCCCAGTCCCTCGCATGCCAAGGGTAGGAAATGATTGTGCTTCGTCGCCATAGTGTCAAACAACAGTGAAATGATCATGTACTATTGTACTACTGTTGCTAAACCGTGCAACTCAGCAAAGTTTAATAACGTTGATAACCAACCTTGTAGTACAGAGAGTATACAGACATTGCCGTAGATACAATACTACAAACTTTTAACAGTTTGCCACACTCTTGGCTTGTTGTGAGTAGCAAGTTGGTAGTAAGCAAATAGCAATTAGAAATCCGGAGTACTGTCAATCAACTGGTAGCCTTGAACCCTGAGAAAGACAAAATTTGACTTAACCGTTAATTCTCCTGAGTCAGTCCATGCCTTGGTAACTACAAAGGCAGCACCGCCCTCGTGTGATGTTAACAGAGGGGCGAAAGGTATACGGCCATGCCGTCTAAACTCAAAGGGTTGCAATTTAATTTGACCCACCTGATAGCTGCCAATTCAACGTGATAATCAGCAGAAGGTGCAACCATGTTATTGTTGACATCCTAGGTATCAATTATCATGCATGGCCTTCCAGAGAGGGGCATTCAAAAGTAATCTGCTGTTCCATTTGCTCTTGCCTCTCGAAAAGTGACTCTCTCACTTAGGTAGTCAAAGGCAGAGCGAGTATTTTCTTATCAGCGCTTCAACCCTGTGTACAGTGTGAAAAACATCTTAACTGCTTTAGGTAGCGACCCTGGTAGAACTCGTTAAATGGCACCTTCCATCACCTGCAATGGCGACCTCCATGTCCGAGAGGCTATTAACCCTATGACCGAGCTCAGGAATTTCGAGTGAAACAAACAGCTATAGGATTTAGTCTCCCGTCTCCTTGTCCATAGAAAGCAGAGCCGAATATGGACAACACCAATTCAAATGAACGCGCAGGTCCCTCTGTACTGACGAACCGGTCGCTTGCTTGGTGCCGAAGCAGGTTTAAATTATTGAAACGGATGGTTTGGGTGCGTGTTGCGAATGCAGACTCCAGTTGTCTTGTGACGAAGCTCAGACTCTGGCACAGGATCGGGAACGTTTGAAGCCCTGTCTGACGCGTCTGCCGCCGCGACCCGAAAGGAGAAGCGGTCATGGAATGTGATGACGATGATGATGGCGATA